ATCGATATTGATTATGTACAAGTCAAATTTGATTTTGTACAATCGATCATTAGCAAAATGAAAACACTTAAACATGAAATTTTCTACAGAAAAAGAGGCCACACAGTGCAATACGAAAGCACACCCGAAGTTTGCATGATTACGAATAATCGAGAAGAAAATATTTATAAGTATAACACCAACAATAAAATATCTAAATGAAATAGATGAATTCGAATAAGAATCTCATTTCTTGGAACTCTCTGAGAAAAATTGTAGCCGCCTGGTTCATACACTGTAAGTAAACAATTTAAAAGCGAATACGAAGCTATGAAGAGTCGCGTACACCCAAGTATTAAGAATATCTAATTAAATGCAGTCAAGTAGCTTGATTAAGAGCTCGATTTTTATCAAACAAAACCGGAACTCATAAGCCGATTCATTGAATTCGTCGAAAAGAGAGAATTATACAAGAATGTTAAATAAGTTTAATGTCGCACTTGAATGTTTTAAGTTATAACAATAGAACGATAAACTGAAAAATGTATTCATATAAAGTTGTTTATATCAATCGGTATTATACCGTCTGTTTATGTTTTGTCAATTTAACCAGCACTGTATAGAAATGCTTCGACAAAAGAAAACAGCAGATATTGAGCGCTAAACAAACAAAGTGAAATACTGCGAACAATTCAAAAGATAGACTTTTAAGGTGAAATATTGATGGAAAAAAAGTGTTTGGATATCGAATTTGACATGTAGCAAACAATTTCTCACGATAAAATAACCATTTGAGATTTTTGTATTGCAAATTGGCTGTCGACAAAAGTAAATCGGTGCAATTTATGTAAGATAACACGTATACGCCTATGTCTAGCTTAACAATGGCTAAATAAAAGATAAAAATGTACAAATATGATAATAATAATAAATGGTTGTTTTAAAAACAGAGTAAATAAAACTGGGTAGTCAGTCAAATCACCTTCAGTCGAAATGGCTGCGATTTTTCTGTGCATTTTTTGAGTGTGGGAATGAATCACTGACACGTTAAAAACGATCAACAGATGTTCAACATTCGAGAAAGCCAAAGGAGTTGTCAACCGTTCTTTCGCAATATTTTAAACGTAGCATTTGTTTATTGTAAACGTGGATGGGTCGAAAAAGCGCAGATTTACGTTATGACGACATTGCCCACCATATGTCCCTTGAAAAAAATGTTCAAAACTTTTTGTACCGAATAGATTCTAATTTGACATGAAATAAAAACACTTTTCAGTTTTTATTGAATAAAATTTATTTATTTTTTTTTTTTCATCATCTTGAAACATGTCTTCAACTTCAAGATTCTCTCTTTTTTGGTTGATTTCAGTATTCATTTTTCATTTTTTTCATTAATAAAATTATTACAGTTGTATCTTTTACTTTAATTTTAATACGTAAGAATCGTTTTGATTAAACTTTATAAGAGAAATTGTTTTTTGTTTTTATTTCATATTTCTTAAGAAATGTTTCTATTACTAAATCTATCGATATTCTCTTGATTGGGTGTTGATTCTAAATTTTGCATTACTTTCGTGCACAAATGTATTTATGTCCAGAACGTATTTTCAAAGCACGCTATTTATATTTTTATATATATATATATTATATTAATATTAGTTCATCTGCATCTTTATCGGTTGTTTCGGGTGTTTACTTGTAGCGTGAAATTTGAAATTTTGTATGTGTATGTGTGTGTTTTTTTTTGTTTTTCTTTTGAACTTAAGCAGGCAATTGAAGTTTTTTGCCCTTCAACACCTTTGTAATATATAAGTAGAAGAAGTCACAGTACAAAATGGTTTGAATAATACCGGCAAAAATGGCAATCAAATCATAGTGACTTTCTGTAATGTAACGCCAAATCCAGTTGATTAAATAAAGTCCACGATATGATCCCAATGCAAACAAATAATGGCTGGTAATACTCTCCGCTTCGCCGGTTTTGCTGACCAAAAATAATTGTGGTAAAATTGCAACCGATTCCAAGTAAATTGAGAATGTCCATAGCACTTCCATTACGGTGAAATCATGATTTATCAATAAGGCCAAAATAACCGTTGGTATGAGCAGAAATTCAATGCGAAACGAATCATGATTGCGATCGTATGTGGCACGGAATTTCGCAAACATTAAGAAAACAGTTGCCACGGATGCACCGATAAACACAACTTTCATTGTTGAATTGTACACACTTATGAATGTTGTGAACAAATCTAAATAACGTGTTATATAGACAATGGTAAAAAGAATTTGCGATTTTCCCGATATGCCGGCACACGATCTCGTTTTCCATATTTTCAATAGCAATATTATGATGGCCAATAGATGTGACAAATCGCCCGTTAATCGAAAGATATTCATGTTGGTTTCTGTTTGGAAATTTGTTGTTTTGACTCTAATTAACTAAATGTCGTCGGATGCTCAGTCGGTCGGTCTCGTATCGTTGACACGTTAACACTCGATTCTCTATATCTTTTTTCGTTGTTTCCGCTGTTCCGAACTCAACTGTTTGAAAATGAAAAAGTAGACAAATGACAACACTTTATATATTTGAAAAAATTATGTGCGAAAATGATTACAGGTTAGCTTAATTACAATTCAATCGATAAATGGTTTAAAATTGAATGAAATCAAAAATTGTCACACAAAAAATTATAATACACCGCAACTAAACGACTGACACTGACGTGATCAATACACAAACGAAAAATGACGTGGCTGACAATGGAGATGTTCTATGTTTGTTCTTGCGTTCGCAAATTTTGACAGCGTCTCGCTTATAAAAGCGGCCAAACGACACAGAAAAAATCGATGGTTTACTAAAATAGACTATTCTTATCACGTACACTAACTCGTGGCTTTTGCCCGTTCGAAAATTATTATCAAAAAAATCTTTTCTTTTTATTTACCGAACTGATGTATATATGGAAATCTTCTATTCCGATTGACTATGCGACGGGATCAGTTTACCGCAATCAAATGCAATTCACTGTGTAGTTGTTGTTCTTTAATATCTGAGAGAGAAAAAAAAATCGGACTAGAAAATTTGTCATTAGAATGACACAACGTGAAGTTGGCAACATATGAATTAAGTCGCATTCACAATCATAACAAATCATTATCTTGCTAATAGGAAAAAAATTCGTTTTAAAACTGATAAAGCAAAGAAAAAAAATTTGGAAAATTATTAATTTCGACATCCAAAATTGCCATTGTGACATGTCGTTGATTACAGAGCAGTTTTTTTAAAAAAAAATCCAAATTTAATTGATACTGTAACAGAAACATACATCCATAAAGCACTGTCAAAATTGCGGCTGTACATAACATACGTGTGATGGCGACAGCAAACACATACGGTATACGCTTCACTCGTTCTGTTGTTTTGAACGTAGCATGTCATTAATGAATAAACGTGTAACCAAACGCGTCACACTCACACATGCACATGTATTGTATGAGTGTATTGTGCTTTAAAACTGGTCCGGATCACAATGCATCGTTGACAACTTACAAATCAAAAGAATTCAATAATAACTAAACAAAAATCCTTTTTGTTGAAAAAAAAAAACATTGAATTGTAAAATTTTCGTGCAGTAAAAGTGAGAAATATGGACAATCTTTCGGATCAAATGGGATTGTTGAGTGATGATTTAATAGAAGAATGTTCAGAAGATTCAGACGACCATGGTCATTCGAAAAATATTCCACTTCGTGAACAGGATCGATTTTTACCCATTGCAAACATAGCGAAAATCATGAAAAGAGCCATACCCGAAAATGGAAAAGTAAGTAAATCAAACACTTGCGTTTTCAATTGATCGATTTTTACAAATCTTTCCATATTTGTAGATTGCAAAAGAAGCACGTGAATGCATTCAAGAATGCGTGTCTGAGTTTATATCATTTATTACGTCCGAGGCTAGTGAACGATGTCAAAATGAAAAACGAAAAACAATCAACGGTGAAGATATACTTTATGCAATGTGCGCACTTGGTTTCGACAATTATGTCGATCCATTGACATTGTATCTACACAAGTATCGTGAAACAACTAAAACTGATCGGAATATCAGCGGTGCTGATAGTTCATTTGACGAATCAAGTACAAGTAATTTCAGTAAGTTTTTTTAAAAAGTCAGCAAGTTTATCAAAACAGCAATAAAAGACAGGATTTTTGCCTACATTTTTTCTAACGAATTTTGTACTGTAATTTCAGATCTAAATAATTTGAGGAATGGGACCAATGCAAGTACGTCAAACAATAGTGCCACAACAAATGGAACAATAACAAATGCAAATACAGCAGCTAACATATCGTCAGTGGGTGGTGGTGCCGGCGTTGTACTAGGACAAATTGGCGAAAGCATATTATACTATGATGCACAAAATCAATCGTTTCAACTATAGAATGAATGCATATAGTTATGATTCTTTTTTTTCTTTTCATTTCATTTATTTTTTAGTATATACGACCTAAAAAAAGAAAATTTTAGAAATAATATCGAATGCAAATGATTTGTTTGTAAAATCTGGTATATGTTTTATTAATATTTGATAGCTCAAACATCGTACATTGTAAAAAAAAACACTCGACGGTTTTAACCATTTCAATAAAAAAAAATGTTTATCAGTAATCGGAATTTAATGTCAACGGAAACGTAATGAAGGGTGTAAAGCACTTTTGCGATAAAAGTCACTGTAAAGGACTATAAAAGTCTCTCAGACTATGGGTGTGTGTGTGTGTGTGACTGTGTGAGTAACAAAGAGTTATTGTGTGGTTTTGAATGTCGATGTTCAAGGGATACAGTAACCGATTTAAAAAATGATTGATTATTCAATTAAAGACAAATAAAATTCATCTGATTCAGAGTGAAACAAAAAAACAAAATCTTTTTAGTAGTCTGTGCCACGTGAAACGACTTCTTTGCATGTTGGTCGAAGCATGATTGTATGTTCATATTGAGCCGTGTATGATCCTTTGATATCGCACAACGGTGGATAAGCTTCAACGACACCCTTGTCACATAAATCTTTGAGCGCCATTTGGTATTTTGTGGCGCCGGCTCTGTCTAACCACCGTTTACAGAATGCCAATGTACTAAAGTTTTTGTTGATTGTATTCAACAATGACTTCGATGATTGCAAACGTAATGGAACATATGGTGTATCAAATGTTTTCATATAATGTGAACATTCCATATCTTCGTGAATCAAACCACGTCCGGTCGAACCGAATGTTTCAATGGCATAGAATTCATTTTCTTCCATGCGCGTTGTTTCGCCACCCTTGACAATGGGCACCGTTTTACCAGCATGTATACGATATGGACTGATTGAATGACCATTCAGATTACGAATACTTTTCACCTGATACGTTTTACCATCAATTTCCACTTCATACGATTCCATGACCTCTTGGATAGCCGCACCAATGTCGCACAGTCGAACATCAATACCAGCCTCACGGATACCGGTGTTGGTGGCGTCTTTTACAGCTTCCTTGAGCCTATCGAATTTCGGATTGAATGCCAATGTAAATGCACAATCAATGATACGACCATTAATATGTGTACCAAAATCAATTTTACAAATGTCATCGTATTGCAATACTGTGGTATCGCCTGCATTTGGTGTATAATGAGCGGCACAATGATTCAATGAACAACCCGTTGGAAATGCAAGTCCGGCCTCTAAACCATTCTCAGCAATCAATTTACGGGCAGTATTTTCCAATTCTTCGCATATTTGAATCATTGTCATGCCGGGCTTTACCCAATTTTGAATGTATTGACGTGTCTGACGATGTGCTTCGGCGGCCAAACGAAGTTCCTTATAAATGTCGGTGTGCAAACGATCCAATGCACGTTTTTCTTCGCTCGTAAAACGATCGGCTGCTTTGCGATCATCCTCAAATGTTGGATGTCGCAAAATTTCACCTTCGGGATAATTACCATCCGGATAGAGTTCAACAATTGAGATGCTTGGTGGTGTTGTTTGCACCTTTTTACCATCATTTTTAGCCTTATTTTTATTTTTATTCTTCTTCTTCTTTTTCTTTTTGGCCGCATCATCACCAGCTGCATCATCGCCATCACCTTCGACCGCTTCACCACCATCATTTTCCTTCTCGTCATTTACATTATTTTCATCATTTTCACCGGCATTGCTCTCTTTCAATTCGGCCGCTTCTATTTTAGCGAGAAAAAAAAAATTAGAAATCAATTTTAATTGGCTTGAATCAAATCGGACACCACCAAACTTACTTTGCTTTTTTGAATTCGGTTTCTTCTTTTTGGGCTTTTTTACATCTGCCGTTTTTTCATCGACAACCTCTACATTTTCTTCAGTCGTACCATTTTGTTCGCCAACAACTTCTTTCTTTTCAACCTCAGACATCTTTGCCGGTGCACTTGGTTTGCAGCTTTCACAAAATTTTGTGTATCAAAATATCAAATCAACACAAAGCGATTCACCTTTCGATTGTATGGAAAAAAATGTGGCGCAGAAATTACAAAAAAGATTCTTTTGACATTTATCATTGAATCCCTATTGATGTCCAAATGAATAGACATGTGAATACATAACATATACTCACTCGCACAACCCTATCGGTAACCATTCATATTGCTATTAACATGTGCTTAAGGCGCATTTGAAGTAGCGGTCGGTTTGAATCGAATATTTATCAATTTAACCGCTTTATTTTTATGTTTCTTGAAAAATTTTATTTCGGATCGAAGAAGTATGATTACTATTATTTTCAAACTAATTAATCATTGCGAATAACGCATAAACCAAAAATAGTTATTAAAAATATAAAATAAAAAGTGATTTTACTCATAAACTCAATTGAGTGAAATTTTATCATTTAGCGCCATCTTGTGATCAGACTAATCTGAATTCATAATTTTTCAGAAAACTTATTCGAATCTGAAGATATGTCATCGGTTTGAATTCGCGATATGCAAAAATATATTCAGTTCATCGATTCAGTCTTTAAGATTTGCAGCCAGTGTACACATCGGTTTTGGTGACAGTTTACAACCAAAAATTTTGCATGTCAAGCATAAAAATCTGCTTTGTGCCAAACGCAGTTTTCAAATTACAATTTCCAATAAAGTGACTAGTCGTTTGAAGGAAATTATTATCATATTATTGTGGTAAGTCATGTAAAATTCTGAAAGTACATTGAAAATTGAATAGTTTTGATCATTTTTCCTGATTTTGTTTTTATTTCGGGAAAGAAATTGTTTGAAAACAATAGTTATGCATTGTATTAACTTGATATTCCGTTCAAATCCAATAATCCAATAAAATTGACTCGATTTTGTGCAATTGAAACACTTAAATATACATTTGTGCGGCCTCACGTCCGTTTTTGTTCAATTACGTCTCACGAATTTTGATATCATCTACAAAATTCCCATTTCTAGATTGCTGAAAACTACACCATTTGCAGAGAGCTGCTAATCTTCTGATAAATCGAATTCTACTTGGTTTCTGGATAATTTCGAAAGATATAACAATGGATCCGGGATGGTGTGCAGTGAGTGGTCATACGAAACGATTGGGTAAATTTATTCGCATACAAATTATGTAAATGTTCGAATATTGAACCTGTTGCACAAATTATGCTTATAAAGCAAAAAATCAAGTCTTGTTTACTTAAACTTAACATCGTTTTACATACGTCTCCATACAAAGGTTCTATTGTTCAGTGTTTTTCAATAAACATTGATTATAGTATAAGATTTTGTAGCAGTTCCGTAATTTTTAAATACAAAGATTTCCTTTTGAGTTGATTGAAAAACACCAACAAAAAAACCGATGGCATTGTTCTTTTTAAAGAAAATTTCTATTTATTATTTGTGCATGATTTAATAATGATTTCAAATAGCCCATTGAGTATTCCATTTCCCTTTGAATTTGCAGCAAAGAGAGTCAACTCGACCAACGAAGGATTCGAAATCAGTGTAGAAAAATTGATAGAAAATCCGAATCTGGTGACATTCATTCGCGAAAATAATAATACTTTGCCGAATTTGCATCTGGTTGGCACTGGAAGTATCACAAATGACAAAGCATTGTTCGAATTGATCACTCGCTATTGCACGAATAGTGCAAAAAAACTGAAGTTCAGCTGGATGACAATCAACATTCCGTTTGAAAAATTGCAACCATTCGCATTGCTGAAAGAAGTCACGTTCGACACATGCACGATTGAAAACGAAAGCATCTTAAATTTCAATCGGTGGTGCCCAAATGTGGCCAATCTGATATTTGATGAAGGCACGACATTGTCTCATTCCGCATTAGATGCGCTCAAGTCAAGCACCCAAGCATTGCCGCACGTGAAAAGTTTGTCCATTGATTTCAAGTCTTCGTCACTGAAATTAACCCGAGAATGGCTTGCTGTATTGAACCAACAATTTCCACAACTCGAAAATTTGGAATTGACATTGAAGGACGAAGATAGCTTCAATGGCCGCACACTGACAGACACATACCAGCCACTGTACTTTTCCAATCTGAAGAAGTTGTCGGTGCAAGCCTTCGGTAATGACATCGATAAACTCTTCGACTACATGGCCATTTCCAACAAGAAGTTGAAGGAATTGATATTCATTGGATTAGTGGACACCCAAGAGCTATATGACTGGATCAAAAGTTGCAAAAAGCTACAGAAGTTGACTGTTGATTGTCGTTATCTCACCGGATATATGAGCGATGTTACAGGTTGGTACATTTTTCGATTTTCTTTAGACAATTTTTGAAATATTGCATTTTTTTCACATTTCTAAGATATGCCATTGGTGAAGGAACTCAAATTGGAAGCAAAGAAGTTGGACATGGAACCGAACGAAATCATTCAAACTGCTCGCAATCTTCCGCGTCTTAATTTGTTGGACATTGTAAGCGATTACGGAAATGACGACATTCAATTCGGGCAGGAGTACAAGGACATGTTTGCCGACTTGAATAAGGAGCGCAAAAAGTTGACCATCAAAGTCTTCTTCCACGAAGAAAAACGCGAAATAAAAATTTCGGAAAAGGGTTTCAGCGAAAAATTCGGGGTTGTAGAAAATGACAATCCATTAAACACGATGGAACATTTCGAAAAATGTATTTCAGACATTCTGAAGAAAACCGAACGTCAGGTGGAAGACCTATTGGGCAATAAATAATGGAACACAAGTGTCTAAACACTCGAATGGTCTGCGACCGAAAAAAAATCATATTAACTTGCACTAACTTACACATAAAAAAAAAACATTATATAAAACAACGTAAAAGAACTCAAAACCGATTGAACTATAATATACTTTGTTAAATGTCATGAAAACTATTTTATATTCAATAAAATTATAACAACTATTTGAACGATAAAACTTGGTTGGTTAATGGAGATTGGTTGTGCTTTTGTTTAAAAAAAAGTAAGTTCTTGGCATAGAAAAAAAGTGAATTATTAAAATGGGTTTGGTTTCACTTGAAAATTGAGTAAAATTCAGTTAATAGACGCCATCTGTTGAAAAATGAAACTGAATTCTTAATATTAAATAAAATGTCTTACATCCGTAAGATGAACTTTTCCGCACTGTGATCCACAACATGCATTTCATACATAAATTCAATTTTTTTGAAATTTTTGTATGAAAAGTGTGTCGAAAGTTATTTGTATCGCAAAAATAACGTCATATTCGGTTTTCTCGTACCCAAAAACCCCCCAATACACATTTTTGAGTGTTTAAGTATACATTAAATATCACTTTTGGAAGAAAAATTGAATTTTTCCCATGGATGGCCATGGGCATCACACCAGACATGACACTTTACTCTGTCAACCAAAGTCGCTCAAAATCTAATGGTTTCTATTCCTCGGCACCCCCAATCATCCTGTGAAGTCAGATTTTGAATTACTTTTCTTGTTTGAAAGTTATCGTGTTAACAAATTTTTGCGTACAGGGTACAGCGTACAGCGTACAGCGTACAGGGTACCACGCACATACATTCGGACATCGAAAAAACGCTAGATTCGTGTTCCCCGGCTCCTAAAACACCCAGAAAACATGTTTTTTGAGGGTGTTAATTTTTCGACCGATTCCAATACTTTACCTTACACACTAGGTGTGTGCGGAAAAGTAATAAATTTAATTCTTTTTGAGAAAAAATATTCATAAATCCGTTTGAGTTGGAAATCTGTACAATTTTTTTTGCATTATTTTTTTGTAATAAGCGAATTTTTTACGGTTCATTTATCTTGAATATAAAAAGAAAAATGATTGATGGTGAATTGTTGATGTTTTTAAAACGTTTTTACATATAAAGCAAAATACTAAAAACTGAAGAATATTCATGTTTTTTTTATTTGCAAAGAAAAAAGCAAACCCTCATTCTTTTCGTCTACCTTCTCATTCTTTTTCCGTTTTTTTTTTCATTAAAAATAAGGCTTACGCTTTCAAATGGTAAACTTTATTAATAATACGAAATTGAAAGAGATCAATTCAAATTGAAACAAAATTCAACATTTATTCAATAAAATTGTTCTTAATTGTGTTCGTTACACAATAACTTTTCTGCTGACATAATAAATAAACAATCACGGGTTCGTCTTCAGTTTTAACCAGCGTTTTAATTGGAATTTTGTTCGATATGACAACAGCAAAATCTCAAAATTTTTCTTGTACCTGAAACATGATTAGAATCATGAAATTCCATGTGATTGAGTGATTCAAAATCATATTTAATCCCAAGTTTACCATTCTCGATTATATTGAAAGTGTGATTTCCAATTGCTGTCCAAGAATGATTTGTAAAATTCGCTCATCTTATCGGCTGATAATGTGTCCTCTTCCGCCTCTTTATTGGCTTTTATGAAGGCTTGCTTCTCCTAAAATTACACAAATCAAACGATTTTTTTAATTAATATTTTATGTCATGATTCAATACGCACCTTAACAAATTTTTGATTGTGCTGTGTCCAGAATGTTTGATTCCATTCTTCAGCTGCGATGCGTTTTAATCGTAGCTCCTTTTCAATTGGTGTTTCATCCTTAGGTATGTATCGTAATACAGGTCTTAAATTTGATATTTTATCTGGCGGTCCAATGTAATCAGAATTAATTTGGTTTGAATTTGGCTTTGATTCGAATCCAACCTTTTGTTGATTTTTACTACGTTTGATCCGGTGCTCGGAAGAATACTACAAATGAATACAGAAATGAATAAATGGTTTATTTGATAAATCATGGTATTTTGTGTACTTGTGCTATTGATAGTTTCTGGATATTATTGAAATTCCTCCGAATATTTCGCGATATATTTGGAAAAATTGCCATTCTTACGACACTGTGAATACTTGGTTAGAATACATTCAATGTTATTGTATGTGATGTTTAACGCAGAACGGAAGAACTGTCAAATATTTACATGGGTGCGTTCCTGATTGTTGTTGTTGTGGTGATATATTTAAAGTACGTTTGAAAGAAAATACAAATGTTGTTTCGCTCAAAAGATAATTTGGTTGTATTAGAAAATAGTTTTTGATTAAAGAACGTATATAATAGTTGAATTAATTTTTTTTCTCCTAAAAAACAATGTCAACGCTATGAGATGTGTCATTTTCATACTATAAAAAACAATAACATTAGTCGAATCGTTGAAAAAAAACTCATTCAATTGGATTTTTGACGGCTAAATATAAATTGAATAAAGTGTTAAGAGCAAATAAGTAGTCGGCTTGGTTTTTAATCGGTGGTAGTGGTATGTCGAGCAGTGCGCACATTGTTTCAATGTAAAATGTAAGCGAACAATTCAATTGTGCGCTTGGAAATCCGACCGATTGAAGACATGATTCAAATTTCGATGGCCATTCAATCATCAATGCGTCAATATCTGGTGCAGAACGATTTTGTGTAACCGTCGTTGGATACGGTTGATCGGCATGTAATGCTTGCACCTCATTAATCCATTTTTCAACATCTTTTGATGATTTAGAAACTGACGGAGGCGGAGCAGGTGCACGATTGCTCGATGTTGATGCTGCTCTCAGTTTCATATGTAACAAGGCTGGATCACTCTGAGCACCACATGGTTCGTCGAGAACTTCAAGGCCTAATTTCGAAATGAATTCCGGCAATTTACTATCCTTTGTGAATGGTTCCGGCGGAATAACTTTTAAAAATGCATCAATGTCCCCCACAGCCGGTATGTAATCCGGTATGAATGGCATAAGTTGATATTTTAACTCGTATTTGGGAGCCGAGTATCTGGAAAAATTGATAATTCATTATGGTATTCAAAAATGGTATTTATATTCTTTTCAAGCTAAGAAAACCTTGCAATATATTGATATAAATCCTTGATTTCTGGTGGAACATCCAAATTTTCCCATTGTCTGTAATCAAAGCCATCAACAATCGCTTTTGCATCGTCCGTTCCGGTATCGCTGCTTTCACTTTCTGAAGTTAATCGCTCAACAGTGGCTTTGGCACTTTTGCGAGGTAATGAACTTGTTGGCCGTTTTGTGGTTGTTCGCTTCGAATCATCAACTACTGGCTCAATAATTGGCTTACTTGAACCACTTTGCTCCACATTTACACGACTCTCTGGTTTTGGGCGTTTTTTCACTTCAATTACCTCGTCATACATTTCCATTTCGACAACTATTCAAAATAAAATTTTATAAATATTGAATTGGAATTATTAGAGTAAAAAATGTCTTGTATTCAACGTGAAACATACATCAAACTATCTGTTTACAATGACATTTGTTTGTGTTGCGTTGCCGGTTGCTAAGGAACATATATACCGTATGTTATCAATAGAGTGTGAACAAACTGGATTTTTTTTTGTGTAGAATAGATGGTTAAGGTATATTTTACATTGACACTTTGTGAATGGGCATGCGAAAAATCGTATTTTTTATAATTTAAAAAAAAGTATTTAATTTTTATAAGATGTTTACAAATTTCATTTTATTCATTAAATATGTGTTTTAGAAGAAATACTCAATTTAATGATTTTGCTAACAAATTCTATAGATCGGTGTTTTATTTTTGATTTTATTGTTTCAATTACTAACATCTCTGCACAATTGAATATTCATTGACTTAATCAAATTAAAACAATTATTTATCTCACTAAATATAAATATGTAAATCTTGTCAAAATTGCGTTTCTCAATATCCAAATGGATATGTAATGATTCTGGATGGGTTGATGTATGCATACATTGCAAAAATGTGTACTTATCATTTTTTTTATAAACATAGATCATTACTTAATTGCATTTATCAAAATATTTACAAATACAGTTAAGACACCGACCAATGCAAAACTGCAATGAATACACATTACTGATCAATTAATTATATATTGTTGATAAACAAGCTTCATTTCCACAAGTAACTCAATAAGTTTGACACACATTGATATGTTATGAATACAGTAGATATTTTAATATAATAATTCAAATGACTCTTTGAAATGGATGCATTAAGAATTGGTTTTGTTCTTCACTATTATCTGTGTAAATATTTGCAAAATTACAACGTGACTTAAAATTATCACTTATAAGCTCTGAAAAAGAATAACAAAGAGTGCAATCTTGAAGAATCACGGTTCCAAATGAACTTTTTTTATATTTCCCAACGCCTATGCTGAGCTTAAAAACACGTAGGATACAAAACAATACCTCCAGATCGAAAAAGTCTTTGCATAAGTTTCGGAATTTGTTGATTTATTTATATTTAATTTTGTTGTTTGCTCATGTTTCTTTTATAAGAAGAGGTCGAAATTTGGCAAAATCAATTCTTGAACCGAAGTTAGCCGATCCAGACAATTTGGTGATTTTCTTGAAAAGAAAAACAACTGAAAAGTGCCGATATCATATGAATAACTGTATTTTAATCAAAATTACATTTTTCCAACTTTAAAGATAAATATCGGCTAAATATCCACCATTTTCATTAATTCTTGTTTTCTGGTTGATCCTTATTTTGGCTTCGTTTTTCTGCTGCCGTCAACAAACTGTGCACCACATTCTTGTATTGATCATCAAAGCCCGCTTCACGAAGGTTTCGTAAGTCTTGCTTAATTTCCTTCGCTTTTTCTGCAAAAAACAAAAAACAAAACGTATTTGGAACATCACTTTTGTACAACATTTTGGAATATTTTTTTTCAACAATAATAACAAAATGCCCTACCCGCTTGTTCAGCGACGCGTGCCTTTAGTTCTTCCGCTTCGGCGAGGGTTTTTTTCATTTCTCCGTAGGTTTTTCTCGCCTTTTGTAGTTGTTGTTGAAAATTATCAGTCATGTTTTGTGTCGTTTTGATTAAAATTCCTTCAATAAATGGTTGAATAACTTGAAGTTGAAGTACTTTTATGTGGATTTGTAAGTCCCAGTTGAAATACTCTATCACCGTCACAAGCCGTGAGCAGATTGAATTCTTTTTGAGAACAAGCACTAAATTTATAGCTCATTTACATAAACTGTAATCGAATGTATCTTGCTGACTGCGGCTGACTGAGAGATATGCTTTCGAAACTTTTGTTATGATTTTAAAAGTAAATATAATTGGAATATTTTTTAAATATTCAATGTCCATGTGTAATACTTTAAAATGTATCTTATGAGAATAATATTATTTTATTATTGCCAATATATTCATTCAATAAGATTTAGTATGCCGTCTACTGCTTTGACACAAAATAGATGATATTAGATAACTATAGCAAAGTTCATAGGTACTCAAGTTGATCGAATGACTGACATTATATTCACCATTAAAAATACAGCTCGATTATTAATAGCATTTAATTGCTATCTTTCACATTCATTTTTATAGGTCTCAATTTTTTATGATGAATAAACCGCATTCCAAATTGAGAAAATATTTGAGATAAGATCTTTTTATTGTTCGAAACAAGAAAGAAAGTGTTATATTGCTCATTATTATTTAAATAAACCGAAGATAATTTTTAATTTACTTGATTACGTCCCACGTAAAATGTCGTATGACAACAATAACATGTCGAGGCTGTCTGCTGTGCGCAAAAGCCAAAAATCATGCAAACAAACAGAATTTTTGCTTGTACTTTTATACATTTATTGAAATTGATAAATAAAAATTATGCCATCTTACTTTTTGCAAAGTAATACATTCGTCATTTTTGATTTTAAATGTGAACGAATGCCGGTTTTGTCAATTCTATGAAGAACTTCATCAATTTCCTGTTGAAGATTCTCGTGCTCCTCTTTTGTTTTCAATAAATAATAATTTATCTCACCAATACAGTCATGAATCTTTGAAAGGTCTGCATTCGACAATTGGATCCGATAAAATTCCAATTTCTCAACGTCCTCTTTAATATCCAAACCAGATGTTTTCGTCATGTTTGAAAGGTGTATTTTCATGCCGATGTTTCTGCTTGGCTCTAGAAAATTGTGCAGATAATTTGCTATTCTTCCACTTATTTTTTTGATAATGCCTTCATTTCGAACGGTTAAGTTTTTGACTGGTGTTACTAAATTTTTGAGTTTGATAAATTCATCTTTCGATTTCATGTGATGTCGATTTAAACTGATTTGATGTTTTGTCAAAACATCGTAATATCCAAGTGTGGCGTTCAAATATTCGTCAGTTATATTTATCGTTAAACTTGAGATAAATGCCATAATTTTTTCTAATTTCTCTTCACTGTTGGAATCAATTTTAGAAGTACTCTTCAAAACATCCCAATCATAACCAAAAATTGGCACTTTTAAAGAAATCAATAAGCTATTACTTGCAAAGACAACTTGTGTGATCTCATCAATGTATGCATCCTCTTCATCCGATTTAGCACTGGCTATTGTGCTATATGAACTAGCACGATAGTTCAGAACCAAATCGGTCTTCTTGCTCAAAACCGAATCAGCGACTAGAAATTTTGGGTGAAACATTAGTTTTTTCCATCTTCGCCTTTGGTCTTCATGGGCGTTGATCTGTGTGGATTTTTTTTTAAATTAAATTGTAATTCAATTGGAGTTAAAAATTTGCGCAATTTAAAGTGAAATTACTATCTCAAAAACAAAAATCAAAAAATAAGCATATATTTTTACATACCATTACAAAGATTCCGATAATTGTTATTATTTGTAGAATTGTTCGAATAAAAAATGTCATCTTTTCCTTAAATTTGGAAAAATCAAATAAATAAATGTGGTCACTCAATGCTTTGTAATTTTAAATTAAACTCTTTTCCCCTTAGCGATGGAGTTGCTGAAATAAAATGGTTTGAGTTTTCAAATCGCTTGACATCAAGTATTTGTAAAGATGTACATAATTTGGAAAACATTTGCAGGCTCTGCCTGTTTATTCGAATTACTCTTGATATCTTTCATAAGAGTGATTTAGAATAAAAGTGGGAATATCTGAATTTTCGCTTTGGAACATACTCATAGAAATGTGGATACATCAAAATTTAAGGTTTTGGTAAGATTTTAAAATTTAACTCGACTATCTCTTATCAGATCAGACGGGACCGAAGACTGGCCGAAAATGCAATTTTAATATAAATTCTAATCAATGGGTATTTTTATGACTTTGAACTGAATGCAAAGAACTACAATAAAACTTCTACTGATTTGATTAAAATAGCTAGAAATGATGAATTGGCACGTTGTAATGGAATGTTATAAATTATAAAATTTCAAGATTTGCCGAAAAAAAATCATCACGGAAACTCACAGTAAACAATTTGAATATGCATCAATCAGTTTAACAAAGAATGCTATTTTTTTTTTTTTTTCAAAAATATACAAACGGATAAATAATTCAAAATAAAAAAGAATTTCAATAAGAGAAAAATGTGAGATGCGTCATCAATTTCAACCAAAACCGAATAAAAATCTTGATATTTTTTTACATGCTCTCCATTGAACAAGCATTGTCTTGAGTAAGCATATTTTATATAAACAGTTTGCAGAATAAAGTCGGTTTGTACTTGCTAAATTAAAGCATAAACAATTCAAAACGTGTGCCGATAGAGTGCAAAATTTGTACAGTGTACACTACTTATGACAAATCGATGCTGTGTTCACGCACACTATGTTGGCCAAGCACATTCTGTTCGATACACCAGATGGAGAGAGAGAGAGAGAAAGAGCGAAAATCACAAGCGACCACGCGATCATCTAGTAAACGTTGCACTGTCAACTAAATTTTTGTGAGAAGTAAGAGTGTATTAGCACATTTTAATGTCAGTCAAGCATACCGTTTCACATTAATTACCACGGCGTGTACATTTGAGGACGAAAACTAAAATATTGGATTAAAAATTGAATAAAACGAGAGAGAAAAATGTCCAATTTATGGACAAAAGAGCATCGAAAAGGATTTCCATTGTATGTGGATTTATTTGAAGATTTGCCGTTAATCTACGAGAAAGAATTTACCAAATGGAATAAACAGCTCGATGAATCGCAATGGAAACACGTATTTCTCGGCAACGAATACGAACCGGTCAAAAGCAATGAAACTGCACACCAATTGAATGTCATCGCCATCGAAAGTTTTCAATTCAAGGATTTTCGCAAGTCATACGAGCTCTTCAATCAAGCGCTTCGTTTTATCGATAAAAAATCACCGCAAATGGGTGTTATATTTTTGAAGCGTGCACAATGTTTTTTCAATATGAATATGTACGAACAATGTTCGGCCGATGCATATTTGGCACGAGAATCAAATTTTCCAAATAATTTTCTATCAGATTTGGATGAATATCACAATAATTGCTTCGAATTCATTAAACAAAACGAGCGGAAAGCACAAACTATCAAATTAAGCATCGATGCGGACAAAGAGTATCCGTGTATGGCGAACGTCGTGAAAATCATAAAGAATGATATTCATGGTATGGAAGTTGTGGCAACAAGTGACATTGACATTGGACAAACAATTTTGGTCGAAGAGGCGTTCACATCAATATCAAATTCATTTGATACAACCACTTGTTTTACTTGTCAGAAGACATGTGCCAATTTCATTCCGTGTGAAAGATGCGTTGATGTTATGTTTTGCAGCATTGAATGTATGGGTGGTAGTGAAATTCATAAAATTTCGTGCGGTGAAGTATACCATCGTATGCCAAGTTATACCAAATTTGTTTTGCAGTCCATTTTAAAAGCGGTGGTCACGTTTCCGTCGATCGATTTGCTCATCAAATTTGTCAAAGCCAAGATTTTAATGCAAACAGTCGACATGGTTATGGATGCAAAGATGAAAAACTATGAGCTTTTCTTTGAACTGACAACGTCAAATCAAGAACTACCAATTTTACTGATTCATCAAGTATACACAACGCTGATGAAAATGACATTGATCGCCGATTTGTTCAGCACGAAAACGAAACAGCGGTTTTTAATGCATTTGGTCGCACATCATGCACAAGTGTTGTTGTGCAATTCATACGGTGGTTTTGAGAAGGAACAAAATCAACAAATCACAGCAACCATGACCAATGTCGCATCTTTCTTCGAACATTCGTGCACACCGAATTTGATGCAGTTTTCAATTGGCAATCGAACCGTATGTATCTCTTGGATCCCATATACATTTATATTTTGTTAACCTTAGTTTGTAATTTGTGCAATTTTATATTTTCCACAGGTTCTAATCACAAACCAGTTCATCAAGGCTGGCGATCATCTGTACATCGACTATTGGCCAGAGGACGAAGGAGGCAACAATGAGTCAACCGAGTCACGAGCAATATTACTTCAGAAAAATTTCAATGTCAGTTGTAAATGCCGTAAGTGCAATCCGAACAAAAAAGCACTCATCATTGCCGATCCATACATGGTGTCACATCCAGCATATCGTTGGGTATTGGACTACAAAAAACACATGGGTAGTGATCTAGGGGCAATTCACTTAAAAATTGTCTTTCTATTATTTTTCTTTCGATTATTTGTCGATTATTTTAAATTAATTCTATTCTTTTCTTTTGTGATTCTCCCCTAGGTAGTGACACATCGGCGTTAATGAAACAACAATGTATCAATTTCTTAAAGGAATACAAACATGCATCATGGTCAAAGGAGAAGGATTACATCATCAAAACATACACTGAATGTGTGTTGAACGAATTCGATGGAACAAATCCTATTCATTTCAAATGATTCAGTCAAAGCATTTGGCATGATATTTATTTATGTATAAAATACTTGGAATACGCATTTATTCATCGTATAAGCATGTCACATTTACGTAAAAGAAATAAGAAAGTTTGCTTGAAAGAAGTTTTTTTTTAAATTTTGTAAATATACATCAAGATATACATAAATAAATGAACCAACTAAACCAACAACCGAATCTCTTTTCAAAAAGTCTTTTTATTTCAGCTGACTTTGACTTTTACACTGTAGATGTCACAGTTCGACATTAGTCGTGCAATATGCTCAAAGCATTAGACCACACACATTTTTTCCATAGTCGGTGCTGTTATGAGGTTGACGTTCACGGTACATCAACACGTTTTACACGAAAATTGACTATCAATTGAGAACAAATATTCTGAAAATATTGGCTAAAAATTGGAAAAACTTCTTGTTGTACCAGAGAATTTCAAATAGAAGTATACACACTATTCTGAAGAGTGAAAAAAGGGTAAGCATTGTATTTGTTACGCCGCGTATCAATGTGTCAATTTAAAAGTGTCCAACATTTCAGACCGTTTACATTGTCAATAAGTAAGAATGCTTTGGAAGAAAGAATCAAATCGAGCAACAGCATTGTATGCCGACTATTTTGCTGAAATGAGGACCGAGTTGGACGAATTAGATGCAATGTACGGACAATCTTCGCCAATTAAAAAATCGAATGCGCTGTCAGATCGTCTCCGACAATAGGTTAACGTTGAATTCGAAGCACGAAATAGAAAAAATGTGATTATGGCCTACAATTATGCACTATGTTTTGCTGAAAATGGTACCGAATCACAGAGTAATGCGTATGGTAATCGATCAGCGTGCTTTTTCGAACTGGATCAATTCAACAGTTCACGCATCGATATCGAACGGCCTATGCAAGCTGATTGTTCCAACACACTGACACATGCAATTTTACAGCATAAAAAAGACTGTATGGGTTTCGTCGACTACAATAATGCCTGCCGAACGTCAAAATCCAAAGAAATTGTTCATTCGTGAGATTTTACGGCAAACGACACTTTTCCATGTCTTGCGAATGTTTTACAAATTGAACAGTGGGCCAATGGATTTGACCACCGATTCATAGCCAATTGTGACATTGACGTGGGAAAGAAAGTGTATGTGAAAAAATCATTGGTTTCAAAGCCGATTGATGATCCATACATGTGATGCACTATTTGTCTTGTACACTGTAACAATTTGATTGCGTGCACCGTCTGTACAAAGGCGATGTTTTGCAGCGAAGAATGCCAAACTAGTCAATTACACCATGCCGAATGTCAACTAATCGATGAAATTGAAGGTGATGGAAAACTGGCGTTTCTCATTCGAACGGTGCTATATGCAATCAATCTTTTCAATGGAAACGATGAGCAAATGGAATTTGTGGCAAACGCAATCAATGCTCAAACTGAATCGCCTCCATCAATGACAGATGAACGATCGAAATATCGACACTTTTTGAAGCTAAAATCCAACGCAGAGAGCCGACCAATCCAACTTTTCCGCTCCTAAAAACCATTCGTAGTTCAATTGAACTTTATTTTAAAGACTATATCTCAGACGATTTAGATTCAAAATGAACACAACTTAGTTGATGACATCAATTACACGAAATTATCTATCAATAAGTTACAATGAATGAAAATATTATTATAATAGAATATATAAACACATTTTTTAATATCATGCAACAACAGAGTTTTCTATATATAATGATATATATTTATACTTGGATCTTCTTTAGTGGTGAATGTAATATCTGTAGCCAAGGCTTGAAGAAATTTATCGATTCCCAGGGGAATCACCGTCTCAATTCCTGTCAGTCTATCTGCGTAACTGTTCCTTAAATTTCCAACTTCTATTTGTTGTTCTATTGATGGGTGAGTAATTGATTGTTCACTAAAAAAGAAAGAAAAAACTAAAAAAAATAATAGTTGAAGAGAAAGATTTGGCAGTATAAAGATAATGATGTAAAACTCTGTATTTAAACCGCGCGATTAATGTTCATATTAAACCCACTTATTCTCTGTGCTGTAGACTCTTTTCGGCTTTTCGCTCTATCGTTTCGTAGTCTTTCTGGTTGAAATGGAAAATATGGGTCGGAAAGCAAAAATTTTTTAAATTTTTTTTTATTCTTTTTAAGCGACATTGTAAGCTGTAACTGTCTATAGTAAATTTTTTGTTGTTTTTTTAATTTTTTTGGGTTGAATCAGTGTTAACTATTTCCCAATTATTTTTAACAATTTTAAATACATTTTTAAAAAGAATAGCCACATTTCGTTCATTATTGACGCTTTTGAAATAACTTTTGATGCATTAAAATCGACTGAAAATTTATAGTGTTTCCAACGTAATAAATGAATTTGACATTGGAACATTTGATGAATGTTGGGGAGCAATTATTCTATCCAAATCGGAACCCAACGATCCAAAATAAATATACGGAAATCAGATTGTAATAGATAATTTCAGCCGTTATATCATGTATCGATGACAAATGGATGATACATCTCTTGCGATATATTTTAAATAATGATAAAAAGGATTATGTATCATATTTTTAGAAACTTATTGCCTTTGCATTGTTATTATATACCAAACTGGACTATCTCCAAATAATCAAGCAACATTTAAAAAAGCAATTGTACGAGGAATACAAAAAGAGTCATGTAGATGTACTTCATATACTATATACGAATATTTGGAAATATAGACAATAAGTAAGAATAAAAGAATTGGTTATTTTTATTCAATTTAATATGTTTACAGCAATAACCTTCGTTATCAAAATAATCAACACATATTTACATCTGCAGATCATGATGCTTTGCTAGTGTTTGTACGTATTGTCACGGCCAATTTACATGATAATTTCATACAAACGTCTATCAGTACTTACTGATAAAAGCTGGCCCAATACAAATTCGCAAAATATTTGTTTGTATTCGTTTTTTGCGTATTTGTGCCTAACGCTTTTTCGAAAATTGAGTCATATATGACCAATTTGAAAAAGTTCTCGACGTGAATGTTTGTTTGTTCTTGTGTATGTACACAGCTATGAAATTTTTTTAGTATATAATACATAATATAAATGTGTATATATGTATGTATATTGTATATAGTACATAATAGTATGTAAAATATTAAAAAATATTCGCATCATATGGTGTTAAATATCGCTGTTACCAAATGCTATAAAGTTTCGTTTGGCGGTTGCTTCGTTTATTAATCAGTCGTTCTTCAACAAGGAACGCTTTCTTTTTAACCGTATCATACGTGCATTTTTTGAATAATTTAAATTAATTTTAAATATGGGTAAATTACAATTGATTATTATTTTATTATTTGTCGAAATTCAGCCCAAACAAAATTCCAAAAGTTTACAGATTTTACAAGTTAATTTAGTGAAAATAAAAATGGGTCAAGCATTTGAAAAGATTGAATAAATTTAAATGGTATTTTTCATTGGAAAGTTATCTTGGAATATAAATTAAAGAATTAAGACTTACATAAATAAATCGCCGTGAAACAATTATATTGATTTAAAGATTAGGTGAGGCTTCGTCAAAGCAACCACGTGAATTTGAAAAAAAAATCAAACTGGTTTTGGAGTTTTTTGTTCACTTTTACCCGTATCTTAACTGTGATATTCATTTTCTGTTACGGTCCACGTTATCATAGGTTTTCAATGTGATCTTTTATGTGGAAGATTTGAATTTTTTCTCGAATATTTTTTTTAAATAAAATCAAAAAAACTTGAAGAAAAATAACATATTTTAATTTATTTATAAAAAAAAAATATTTGAGAAAAAATTATTATTATTATTTTTTATTTTTTTATAATTTTTTTATATTTTTATATATATATATTTTTTTTAACTATAGTTCATAAGTACATCTAGACTGTATGTAACCAATTTAAAAATGACTTTTTTAAAACTAAAAAAAATCCTTAAAGCGTGAAAAGTGTGGAAATTGTATCAGAAATGTTGGTAAATGGACGGACAAACAACTGTTTGTTCGTTGAGATCTCCAACTACCACATATAAATGCACAGTGATTCTAATAGAACCGTCCTATGGAGAATCTACAATACAACGATACACTGGAACGACAATGTACACATAGTTTAATGTCTCAAGCGGTTGTATGTTAAATACGACGTAGATCCACTGTCAGTTCGTGTTTATATGTATATTAGTGTGTTGATTTGTACGCACTGGAAATTTACGTGAAAGAGGAATTCGTTTATTATTTTAGATAACATTTAGACAAATATCAATTTTTGTGATTGTCGTATTTTTAAATATACGCCGTATTAGAATACGCCGTTTATTCCATAGAAAATTTTAACATGAAAAACTTCAAGTACCTATATACTGTAGTACGGAATATAGGACAAAAATGTCAGTGGAAAAAAAAGTATAAATCAAAGAAGAATAAATTTAAAAAGTATTTTCTAAAAATTTTCGGGCTGATAAAATGTTAATTTGTTCATTGGGCAAATGAAATATAAACTTAAAGTTAAAATTCTCTCCAATCTAAAAACTGTGAAATGATATGTTGTCATAAAGTTTATGTAATAATCAAAAAACAAATTTGTCAAACAGATGGATCAAATCGCGATGTCATTCCTGTCAATGAGGCAAAGAGATTTGTGGTCGACTGCTTTCGTTCGTTGAAAGTACCACAGAACCATGCTGACCTAATGGCCAATTTGTTAATAGCAGCTGATTGTCGCGGTCACTTCAGTCACGGTACGATCAATTTATATTGGGTATAAAAAATCGCGATGATCATGATCCTTTTCCATTAGGTATGAATCGCCTTGAAATGTATTTGAACGATATACAATCTGCTACGACTGACGGTGCTGCGGTCCCGACAATTCTTAAAGTAAGCCACTTAAAATTTACGTTAACTAATTTAGATGTTTAAATTTTGTGTTTTAATTAACAAAAGGAATCACCATGTACTGCCTGGGTTAATGGAAATAATGGACTTGGTGCAGTTGTTGGCCGGTAAATATTCGAAGTAACCGAATTAAAATCAAATTTATGAGATTTAAACTATTTCTAGTTTCTGCATGGATTTGGCAATAAAAAAAGCGAAAGAAGTTGGTGTCGGATGGGTTTGCGCGAATCATTCCAATCATTACGGTATTAAGATATATTGCCATTGTTATCACTTTTATCATTTAGATAACATATAAATGACACTAAAAATACATCCGAATTTTGTATATTTTCAAAAGGAATTGCCGGTTGGTATGCAATACAAGCTCAAGAACACGGGTTGATCGGAATATCGATGACAAATACATCGCCGATATTGTGTCCGACACGGGGTAAAGAAGCGGCACTCGGAACAAATCCAATCAGCGTTGCAGCACCAGCAAATAACGGCGATGGCTTTGTATTAGGTATGAAAATCACAAAAAAATCTCGTTCATTCATTGAATTCGAATAATGTTTTCTTCTCAAAAATAGATATGGCAACGACTGCTGTTGCTGTTGGAAAAGTCGAATTGCAGCTGCGAAAAGAATTGCCAATTCCATCTGGATGGGCTTTGGACAAAGATGCCAATGTTACTACCGATCCGAAAAAAGCATTTGAAGCAAGCATGTTGCTACCTTTGGGTGGCTTGGAAGAGACATCAGGATATAAAGGCAAATCACCATCATGTGTGTGCTAAAAATATATCTATATTTCTAACTTGGTTTTTGATTATAGGCTATGGCTTGTGCGGCATGGTCGAAGTGATGACTGGGATTCTATCTAATGCCAATTTTTCAACAAAAATCAGAAAGTGGACATTGGATGGATCAGGTTCTGAAGCAAATCTTGGACAAGTATTCATTGCAGTTAATCCTGATTGCTTTGCTCCCGGATTTACGGATCGAATGACTGAAATGAATGGCATTCTTCGCAACGTACAACCTGTGAGTTTTTTAGCTACTCGTGAAAAATGAACATTCAATGTTTTTTTTTTTTTGCAAAATTTGGATATTGATACCAACTAAATTACGGTTTTCCTTAGGTGAATGAAGAGAAACCAGTTTTGGTTCCAGGCGATCCAGAACATGCTCATATGAAAAAGACGGACGAAGAAGGTGGCATTCGTTATCATGTTAATCAACTCAGCAACTGCGATGACATTGCTGCAAAGCTCAAAGTTCCCAAAATTGGAACAATGTAAAATTCTATTTTTGCCATATTCAATACAGTAATATATGATTTAGAGATGGGTCTGACATCAAAAATGCTATGTAGACCGAAAAAACTGAGAGCGAAAAAATATTTGGAACCAAATTTAGAAAATGCCTTTTTAATAAGTAACGAACGTTTCACATATCATTGAAATTCTTAAAAATCAAATTTTGACGAATAAAGCATTTTTATCTATACTTTGAATAGATTTTTTTTACATTTTGTTATTTTCTTAAGGTTAGAAAAATTTGCCGATGTCAAATCAAAAATTCTCATATTTATGTTATTCACATCTATCACATTTATATAATAAATTTCAGCTTTTAACACGCATTGCATGAAATGCAACCACAATGATAGTCTTTGCTTATCAAGTAAATTGCGTTGAAGTTCCATATGGCTGTAGGACATTCTTGATCAGGCACTCATATCAGACACTATTTTTCAGAGCAATAAATGTGAGGGGAGCACTCTGTGGAGTTGGAGGAGCAGACATTACCTTTAATATTTTCTTTCTCACTGTGGAGGGCCTTTATTGCTCCAGATCCTCACATTAGCTGTTCTGAGGAACATTCTCTGGATTATATTGGCCAAGAATTCATAATTCGGAGAAAAAAAAATGATTTTTACCTTTTATACCTCAACATATTTTCCATTTTTACCATTTTTTCACAATAACTTCATTGATAAGATTTACCGTTTATTTCGTCGAAAAAAAAATTAAAATTTATTCAATGCAGCCTGAAATCAATAAAAGGTCAAGAGATCCCAAAGAACATAAGGCCATATCATATCTAAATTTGTATCGATATTAAATACATAATGGTTTATTACATAAATAAAATCCAGATTTCCATTCTTTGCAATTGTCAGCGATACGAAATCCACTGTATTACAATTCAAATAAATAATAATTTAAAAAAAGAAGAAATGAAATCGGTCTGTGTTTGGTTGGCTTCTTTTCATTGTGATATTGCCACCTGTTCAACACTTAATCGAATCGTAATCGGACTGCATAAAATACTATAACAAATCAATGGGAAGAATAAATTGTTGCACATTCATAATTATAATATTTTCATATTATAGTAATTACTTAAAATAATTTTAAGGTATCATTTATCCTCTCTTTGTGTGTGAGACTGAATTTGTTGTTTTCAGAAGAGTGAAAAAAGTGTGTAGTTCTGACATTTATTACGTTGCATTTGTTGATCGAATGGCGTGCAATTCAAATGCAATGAATTGCAAACGCAACCGACTGCAGTAATAAATATCTACATATATATTCTGTTCGTAGAAAGAAAACAATTGAATCAAATGCAAAGTTCGCATATTAACATTACATTTACATTCATTTATGCGGGGACTTGTTTTTTTGTGTGTATATAATAATAATTTATCAAAAGATGTTCGGATACATACATATTGAATTCATGGTAATTAACAGATTTATTAGAATTAAAATAAATCGAAATTGTTTACTATGTATATAAAAAAAAGGAAATAAAATTTGACAAAGAAACAGCAACACACTTTTTGTCTCTGGACTGGCTGCTCTTCAGCAAATTTTTTTGAATTCCGAATATATTTATATTTATTGTTTTTTCGTCGTTTTTTTTCAGCTTGTGTTCCTTTTTTTTATTAACGAAAAAAATGCTCAGTGATTAAAAGCAAGTTAGAATGTTTTGATAAATTAAGATGTATCAACATCATCGGTATTAACTATTTCGAAATCTTTATCGGTTGAACGGTGTGAACTCTCCGAATCGCTGTCTCGTTCGACTTCGCTGGAACTATTTTCAGAAAATCGAAAAAAAACGACATTGTTAAGAATAAAGTGTGATTTGTTTGGCATGCAAAGTGACCTACTTCTTTGAATTGTGATCATTTTGTTTTTCGCTTTGGTCGTCATCGATGCCATCGTCATTTGATAGCAGTGCGTCGACCGATGATGAAACAATGGTGCCCGTTTCGTTTTCTTTAATATTTTCAATTTTTTCCGGTTCCAATAATGTCACATTCGAATCATCTTCAGCATCGCTGTCTTTATCCTTTTTGTTCTTCTTCTTCTTGGATTTGTCTGACGAACCATCGCGATAATCATGCTATCGAATTGAAAAAAAAAGTGAGGTTAGAATTTCGTTGATGTTTAAATATGAAAAAAATACATACTGTATACAGTGGCCAAAATGATGCAAAGAAACCAACATCTTCCGTTAGATTCGGGAATATCCAGAGATGATGCTTTGATCCGGTTAGTACCCATACAATACAAAATACAATAAAACGTAATGCGGCCAAACCAAGAATGAATACCAAGAAACCAGCGGCAGCAATACTCAAATAGTAAACACCTTTACGAATCATTGGCGGCCACAATGGGAACAAACACACAACGATTGCACCAACAACAACCAATGCACCAAACAACCAATAATGCATCGGAATCGGATCATAAATCCAAACATATGCTTCACCACCATCGACAAACACTTGATCCGGATGCATGTCCAAGCGAATCTTTCGCTTTTTCTTTTCAGCCGGTGCCTTATCCAATTTCGTTGATTCGGCATTTGTACCAGTTTCGGTATCATCAGCGCTTGCCTTGTCGTCTTTTGATTTTTCCACCGTTTGACGTTTCTTAACCGTTTTCTCTTCGTCCGATTTATTATCCTTTTCGATTGGTTTTTTACCGCGACGCAATTCAGCTTCGGAAACGGGAACCTTTTTGGCGCGATGGAAAAATTTATGCGTCAACATTGCATCGAGAAAATCAATTGCAATCTCACGGGTTGGAAACAGACATTGGTCTCCTTGTGCGAATTTTGATGCCATCAATGCATCTAATGCTTTGGTTGCTGCAAAATTATAACACACCATATTTAACATACTAAATTCATGTTTTTATGTGATTAGATCATCATATTTAAATTAAATAAAAAAGACTTCATGTGCTGTTTCAGTACTTTGAGTGACTTTCATTTTGATCAAAACTTGTTTCAGAAGACCCAGCACACGTTAACTAAGCATGTATGGAAGATCTTCTTAAAAAGGTCATAGTACTCAAACAGTGCCATTAAAGCATCGAATAAAGTCTTTTTCTCGTGTCACTACGTTACTTCATTGCCAAACCTACCGGTAAAATATTCCACATGATGATTCAAAAATTTCGTCTTTTTCGTCGGTACATTTTTCTTGATCCATTTTGCGACCGAATACTCGTCTTTCGATGGTTTTTCTATTTCAACCTCAGCACCACCGGGACCAGTGTATTCCTAAAGACGATTGACAAAAACGAAATTAAAATCGAGACATTCGCTGCATATTCCAATTTAAATATAGCATTTGTAAACAAATAAACGAACGAAACTGGATATTGACTATAGACTCAAACCGATTATTTGCATGTTTTTAAAGCGCATGCGTACTAATGCCGACCCCACACAAAGTTCAAAAACGTAGGCATCGCTGTTTTAAATGTTTGTTTTGGTTTTTTTTTTTTCATACGTAAGCTCATTTTATCATATGATTTTCATGTTTACTAACGATGCACGGGCACACACTATCATGGAGTAATGAAAACGGTGAGATAAATCGACATGATGCGCTATATTCACTTCAATGCATTTACCTTCACTACAGTAGACATACTCCTAGCGCTGTATATTTTCAGCATAAGAGAAAAATCATTGCGTTGGTCGAAAGTCGAATCGAAATTCAAGGCACTTTATCAAAATCGGACTGAGTAAACACAATGTAATGAAACAAAAAAAAATGTTATCAATGCGTGTGGCGAGGTTCATTTGTAAACATTCAATGATAAAAATTCCATTTGTTAGAATGTTTCCTGTAAGCTGATTCAAACATATGATTTCCAGTGAAGTCGAATATCGATAAAAATTTATATAATCTGTTCATCTGGTTTATAATGGAGATTTTTTTTTATCTCAAAATCCATATGCTGTTTTGTCAATGTATCGTTGTAACTGTAAAACAATGCTGTGCCAATGTGAATTGGATCACACACATACCGAAATGTAAGACACACAAAAAAAAGAAAGAAAGAAAAAAAACTTTCACGAATAGAAACTTATTCCATTGAATGTGCGATTTCACTGTACACCTATGATAATGTCTTGTGATCCGCTTCATATGAGTGCGCTGTGTGTGTGTGCTTGTGTTTGCATTTTCATTGCATATTATTGTGACCGTGAGCGTATCGTCTCTTTGATTTATCGGACAACCGAGAAAAAAAAATCCCATAAATGAATCGCAATAACATGTATCGATTCAAAGAGAGTTAAAGAACGTAATTTTGATATTATTTTTGGATCCAGTTTGAAATATGAAAATCACGACGTAAATTGTCGTCATTCACTTCGGATTCGAAAACAAAGGAAAAGAGTAGACAAAAAAAAAACCAAAAACGATTACAAACAATAAATACAGATGGATATGGTTGATGAAAAACAGATAAATATAAGTAAGAAACAGTTTAGAGCCGCTCGAACTGCGCTCAATAAAAAATGATAAAGAAAGAAAATATTTAAAAACACAACAGATGTCATCAAAATAATGTGTACTCTTAAACTTAAATTGTGATTTGACCCGAAACACACGTAGCAGGAATGTTCGCGCATTTACACGGTACACACATTCAGCTATTATGCATTTACACTAATCGATTTCTCACTACGTTTCACTTTTTTGCGACGTCGACAATTAGCATTATTTTCTTGTATTTTTTGTTAAATGGAACTTACATCTTTTCGACGTTTCGATCTTTTCTTGTCCGACATGTTTTTTTTTTTTCTTTTGTTTCTTAGCTAGCAGCAAAGTATTTTGCACTTGTACGAATATGAACACTATTGCGACGGACGACAGAAGCAAAAAATAAAATAAAGGAATAATAAAAACTCGCACAGCAAATTCTGTCTGTTGTTGTTGTATGTCTATTGGAAACAAGAGGATTTGAAATTGTTACACAGATATATACTATACGCGCACTTCGTGGCTAGTGACATTCAAATTGCTATCGCGCACAACATACATACAAACACACACATACAGACACACCGTAATCGACAGCCACGACTGTTGGATTTCTGCTGTGGTGTTCCATTTGACATGGAACTTCAAGTACAGGCCACAACGCCATCTAAATGTGAACGGGGCAAGGTTTTTGTCACCATAAAAATCATCTTCATACCAATTATTTGTTGAAATATTTGCAAACATTTTCGTTAAAATGTAAATTTGATGATTTTGAAGCGAGTTTAAATTAATTCATGTGAATTTTTTTTTGAAAAAGTACCCAAAATACAAAGCAGATGCAAATGATGACATTTCTTTGTGTTGGGATCAGTTTACGGAAACTTACCACGGTCGTTTGACAGCTAAGTTCACGTGTATTATTCCAATCGCATTTAGATAAACATTTGTTTTGAAAGCCGTGACCAAATTCCATAAATACTCGCTAAATTATTTCTTGCTTGGAGACATAATAATGGTTTTTGTCACCGTATCACATTTCTGTAAAGTATGTAAATTGTTACTTTCGAATGAATTTTGAAATTGATTTCACCATAGATTTGTTTATTACTTTTAGAAATTTACGAAAAAATATCAATTGAGATTCGTGGATTCGTTGCGATTGAATGTTAAAGGTGGCCACGGAGGTAATTGAAAAACAAATGAATGAAGATGGTATTTAACTTATAATGATTTCACTATTTTACTAAAATAGGAAATGGATATCCAAAGTACGGTGGTATTGGTGGTCAAGGTGGCTGTGTTCAATTTGAGGCCAATGAGAAAAATTCGTTGAACGCTCTTGCCAAAAAGTAAAATAAATTGCAATTCGAAAATTTTCGTTCCAATAAATTAATCTTTGAAATTCAGATACCGTGGTATAGCGATCAAAGCGGAATCGGGTGAAGATAGTTCAAAATCTCGTATTTTGGGACGTCGCGGTGAGGATTTGAAAATTAAAGTGCCAATTGGTGTGACCATTTTTGATGAGAACCACACAAAAATTGGTGAACTCAATGAACCGGGCGACACATGTTTGGCAGCCGGTGGTGGAATCGGCGGTTGTTCTGGCAACAATTTCTTAGGAACAAAAGGACAGAGCCACGTCGTTACGTTAGACCTTAAGTTAATTGCCGATGTTGGAATGGTATTTAAAACAAACTTCAATTTGATATCATTAATTGACCATTTCATGTGTATCATTAGGTGGGATTCCCAAATGCCGGTAAAAGTACATTGCTGAAAGCCATATCACGAGCGAACCCAAAAATAGCTTCTTATCCATGTGAGATATTTCAACAGCTAAAAACGATAAATAACAACCAATTAGTAGGCAAAATCAACAAAAATTAACATATTTTAATGTTTGATGCATTCCAGTTACAACACTTCGACCACAAATTGGAACCATTGGGTATAGTGACTATCGACAAATCACAGTTGCTGATTTACCGGGTTTGATTGAAGGTGCTCATGCAAACATCGGAATGGGTCACAAATTTTTAAAACACATTGAAAGAACAAAACTACTTCTTATGGTACGTACAACAAACTATTTGATTTCGAACCGAAACTGAAACGCATCGTCTTTATTTCAGGTCGTTGATTTGTTCGGATTTAAATTGAGTGCAGTGCATCGATTACGAACATGCATTCAAAATATCTACGCATTGAATAAAGAGCTCGAATTGTATGACAACGAACTATTGGATCGGCCGTGTATTTTACTATTGAACAAAATTGACGAAGACGGTGCACAGAGTGAATATGATCAAATCAAGGAGAAAATTTTGGATTTAAAATGTATGTGTGCTAATTATGCAATATGTTTGTTGAAATACTAATAATCGACTTTATTTTAATTAGCTCATACAAATGACTGTCCTGAAGAGTTGCTATCGGAACGATATTTAGAGTTTGATGACGTTCATGTGATTTCGGCAAAAAATGAAATTGGCATCGACAATGTAAAAACATCGATACGTGAATTACTCGATAAATACGCGGAGAAAACCGAAAACCTTTCAACCGATTCGAATTCAAATATCAAAGAGAATTGTGGGTGAACATTTATATAAATCGATTTGTATAATTATCTGTAGATGTATGAAGAAATATAAATATGAATTTAAATGATGTGTTTATTTTCGCATATTGACATAAGATGGGCCAATTCGTGTGTTAAATAATGCATACACGATACTTATTTGTCAGTAATTATAATTAGCAAATTGAAATATAGCTGTACATGGTGTTCGTCTATTGAGACTTTTTTTTTGCATTCAATTGAATAAATTGTGCATCAACAAAGGGGGAATTTTTCTCATTCCCAACAATAGATATTGAATATTTTTCAATGAATTTTTCCCATTGAAAAGTATATGGAACCTTTTCTCACTTGTAGCATTTGCAATGTGCTTCACTCTCGTCGAAAACAAAACCGGCACACATCCAGTGTGTGATTGTTAACGATATATATTCGAACGATGAGGCTAAACAAATTAAATACAAATGCAATGCGAAATCATAGCACGGCTGACTAGAGCGATTGGCGTCGATCGCAACCAGTACATATTCGACTTGTGCCATGCGAACAGCACATTTCAAGTGAGCGCTCGCGATGTATATTTTATTGAAAGATTAACGATCGATCTAATCTGTGTATAATCTATATTATATATGTAAAAGGTGGATAGGTGGATAAAGCATAAAAGTTGCAATTGAAATCCAGAGACAAATGAATGAATAAAAAAAAGTGTTTTTATTAACAACAACGGAAATCCCATGTACTCCCGTTCGAGCAATTACGGTTTTTTTTCTTCATTTGTCTATAATAGTTGTTGTGGAAAGAGTTCAAGCATTTAGGCAAATTCGTCATTCCTGACTAATTGGAATTTTCATTCTTTGACTTTTTGCTCTACATGTATCCCATTTAAAGAGCGAAGAGTTTTTTTTAATGTCGAAAATATTGTTTACAAAAATCCCGATTTAATGTATTTGTGGCTGTAAAGTGTGTGTGCATACGATGGATGCGCGAACGCGACGTAAGCTGAACAAATTCACTAGAATCGATGTTATTTTTGGAATTACACGCTTATTTTGTCGGTGTTTAAAAACGTGATTGTATAGAGTAGTACACGACGAAAACCATGTTCAAGGCGAGAGAAAAAGAAAAAGACCGAATAACAAATGCCAAAAAAACATACAACGCTTGAAAAACAGCAATCATAAAAATTTGTTACTTTTTCGTGTGTCTGGTTGATGTACAGCGGGAAAAACAGACGGTGATACTGTTTTAATTGGAAAAATGTATTTAGATTAATTGAGATTTCTCATTTTTGTTAATATTTAAGAAAAAACGGAGTGAATATTTAGTTAGACTTTTACATGGTGCGATGAAAGATGTGCTCTTTGATTCGAATGATGTTGATTTTCAATGGAGTTTTCCACAAATAAACGGAAAACAAAACAGTTTTAATTGTGTAGCAAAACGTAATAGGAGTTTCCAAAAATCGGTTTAAAAAAAACGTCGTGGTTTCAATTGATATTTTTGGGTAGCAACGATGGTTCTTTTTAAATTGTGTACGAGCGGTTCGCTCGATATAACGAATCTCTGTGAAATTGATGTGATTAACATTGGATCATCAGTAATTGCGTGTATTTTGCTGATACTTGGCATTGGATACATTCTACATCAGAATAAACAAAGGTAAGGGTTTTTTTGCTGTGAGTTCCAAAAGGTCAAGTGTTTCATAAGACGTATCAAGGATAATATGTGCTTCAATTGACGAAATATTCCCAAAAGTATAGGCAGTGTTTCTTTGATCAAAACCTCAACAGTATCTTACTATATTCAAGCGAATAATTTAATCGTTAACGACAGTTTTATACTTCCCACACGAATCCAATCATTTAATGTCAATACGGTCTTTCTGAAATTATAGAAATTCGATGGTTAAAGTGTACCAGAGTTTGCAACAGGTCGCTTGCATAGAATGTTCTCAGTTTATGTAAAGAAGAACACTGAGGAGCACTGAATTATAAAATATTAAAAGTAAAGCTCCTTCTAAAATTGGGATATTTTCACTTTTAATATTTTGCACCTCACTGCGCACTTCTTAACTTTTAATATTTTTCTTCGCTCATCAGTGCTTCTCTGGCTTCTCGCATATATAATGTGAGGATACATATATATATATTGCTCTGTAAAACAGTCTTCGCTCGCCCGAACTCGACCTATGCCGGACACTTTCAATTAATAAATTAAATATTTGAGTCTCTGATGTGCCGGACAATTTTAATGTGATTAAAAATTCCTCCTCTGTCATTTATTGTAAACACAATATCAATTTCCTTTCGGAAATTTATTAATGGTTGGCAGAGTTTTATGGTGCATTGCATTGAAACGACGAGAACGATTCTCCATCACTTTATCCATGTTACCAATGTATTATCAACAAAAATATTGCATATATAAACTGCAATGAACTATGTTGGACTGTCAAACAAATTAAATTTCACTAAATGATTGAAATCCATAGCAAATTGCTAATTGTTATGGATATTATTATTATATATACGCGTGTGCACTTTTAAACGCTTTTTCCTCTATCTCTCTTGTCTGTGTGGATAACCGGAATGCATGTGCGATTTATTGCACGAACAGTTCATGCGGAGAAGAGAAAAAAAACAGATCCCTTCCAGCGCTCATCACACCAATTATGATATGATATAATTGAAATGGTTATCATAGTGCGATCGATATTGAGATAAAACCGCATGCATCGTGACACACTTCATCACAACGAATCAGTTTCTCGTTTGTTGAATGCAGAAGCGGTTTGACATGCATATGAATTTCAACTGATTTGCCCATTTTGCGTATGCAAGAGTTTATGAGCCGGTGAACTCATTTCAGACAGTCAGAACTCTGTCGAGAGAGAGAGAGAGAGAGAGAGAGAGAGAGAGAGAGAGAGAGAGAGATAGTGTAATTTGAGCATTACTGAAATATGAAAATCATTTTAATCAGCCGACGCATTCCCCCTGTCTTTCTCTCGGCAACGGTATCTCAAATGACAACACATCGTGCATTGCATCGATCAAACCGCAGCAAAAGAGAATTTGAAGTTAATCGTTTGTAAACTGTAAGTTAATTTGTTTACATATGGCATTTACTGCAATACATTTGCTGTCAATATTTATAATAGTCTTCAAAGAGCGTGGTCTTAAGTGTTTCGCATTAGACAACCGGTAATAAGATTATCTAAGCACATCGATTCTATTCACACAATTAATACATACCAACTTGGTTGAATGCGCTGAATTGAAAATTGCAAATGATTTTCACAGTGATTTATTTGAGATATTACACCTTTTTTCCTCTACGTCATGTATCAATTTAAATAGTTCGTGAAAATGTTCTTTTTTCTTGTCGTAGCCGACCACAGAACGTAATCCGTCTGAATTGCGCTTATGTTCGGCGTCGAATGCATGGATTACATCGAAAATATCATTTTCAATATTGACGCTAATCACTCATTATGCAAGATTTTCAATCCATTTTCACATTTATTTATAAACACAAGCGTTGCGTTCATCTTCCTGTTCTTCTACATCTTCGTTTTACACGGTGTCGAGTGAGTATAAAAGTGAAAATATTCGCGTACACAGTGGCATTGCCACAAACAATATTAACGATAGAATTCAATTTGTTTTCTGTTTTTTAAATTTTGTGATGTTCGGTATGTTGTTTGATTCCATGGTGTTCTGTTCAACGTCACATTTCGAACATTTGTGAACATTTATTACAATATGTTGTATTGTGTTTGCAATTTCGGACGCGCCTTTTAAACGATATTCCCGCTGTGAAATAATCACATTTGCAATGATTTCAATCGTCGATTAAATCGACCGTAAAAAAATCAACATGACGATAAAAATAAAAGAATCCCACGCTCGGCAAATAAATTCGACAGAGGAAAAAAACATTAACACATGATTACATGCATTTTTACCTGTGTGTATGGCATCTCATTTGGTTGGTCGTTTTCTGTGTGCATTTATTTCTATAAAAAAAAGCGAAAACCATCGAAACGAAAACTATCAAAAACGACACACTATTTTGGTGTTGTGCACATACACATGCTGCACATGGATTTTAATCAGAAAATTCGATTCGGCACTAACAAAACCGATTGAATTTAATCCAGCGAAGTGTACAATTTTGCGGCAACATGGTGATACAATAGAGCAATAGTGAGTGAGTGTGAAAAATGCCAAAACACACCGGCACCACCACTGCCGGTGTGACATTGCACACATACATGCAAACACAAAATCTGTCAACTGGAAGATCTAAAAAATTTGCAAATATTCAGTGTTAAATGTGGATATGGACATTTTACTGTTTGCCATCTGAACAATTCGTCCGTAAATCTGTTCCGACACCACAATGTTTACGCAAAATCATAGCTTGTAGGGGTGGCAATTCAAGGGGATAATTTTTCTAAAATGTAGAGGGACAATTTGTCTCTCAAAAAATAATAATAAAATGATAAGCTAAGAAATCTACAAGCTTTTCTGTGGAAAGAATTTTCTCTCGGAAAAAACCCTATAGTAAATCGGAAGAATTTCTCCCATGAGTCATGACCAAAAAGGTCTTCATTTTTGAATTGACGAAAAATTTGCCACAATTTGTAAAGGGTTTATTTTAAAATTCGTTCTCCAAGGGAATAATATTAAATAATAATCGGACCTCCGGACCCCTGGTCAGAAGTGCAAAATTCATTCGTTACTCGCAGCTAAGCTATGCAGGCATATCGTCACCACCGCAAAATGTGATTGTTTGAAAATCGAATCGAAGAGAGTGCACGAGAGAAAAAGAGCGAGAGAGAGAGGTAGAACATGTTCAAATTGTATATTATTCGGTTGTGTTCAATTAGAAGCCTGCGCTGAATTGTTCAGTAAAATTAGCTGCACAAATTCTTGGTCGGTGTGCCGTATCTTTCACTGTCGTGACCCACATTCAAAATATTCATTCAGAACGGATGCCAAAGCATATAATGGTCATAATCATTGTGGAAAAAAATATGAAGGGTAAATCGTTTCAAGCCAGGACTGATTGAGAAAGTTGAATGTTACAACATTTTGTGGGAAAAAATGTGCTGCAATATTTTCTATCTATCTTCATGTCAGGAACTCTCTTTTTTTCTCTGTGTTCGACTGATGATTCGCATAGCATATCCAAACATCAAATCTGGAATGCAATTTGGCTGGCGTGTGACGCAGATGCACACTACTGTACGTGTATAGTTAAGAAACTATGTCAATTCCAAAATCAAACCTATATATAATAATAAATGTTAGTTCGTGAAGCAGATGCCAATTTTCGAGAGTCAAAAATTTCAATCGATAGAGAGAGAGAGAGAGAGAGAGAGAGATCAAGTGCTAGAGAAAACGAAGAAAATGATCGAATGAAAAGTCGACAATGTTGCTGAAATGATATCGTCTTTATCCCGGTTAAAGGATATGGCAAAATGGAACGTGTGGAAACGTGATCACATGAAACAGTAACAAGTTATCATCGAAATGTACATACATGTATAATGTCAAATCTCAGTTGCATCATTTCACGCATCTATCAACAGTTCGATTTGTGTTTGGGTTCGAAAAGCGAATTCATGATGCGAGAATACATCACGTATACCGCCTTCAATTTGCAAAGCCAAAAGCGAATATTTAACAATTCACCAGAAAGACGGCCGAGCTAAAAGGGTACGCAGGTGAAAATGATATCACCGATTCGATTTGTTTATCGACGGCTTTTTTTTGCACAGCCATTCTTGTTTATTAAACTTTTGTTTTGAATTGTTGCGTCTATAGCGATTGTAAACGAAAACTGCACATCAGCTACGGCATAAAAATAATTTCTGTCTATTCTGTGTTTGCCTTTCCAAAACGAATTCATATGCAACGTGTACACAAATATACAAAAAGATCGACCAAATAAAATTCTCTTTAAAACAAGCATTCATTGTTATATACGTCGCCGTTCTGCCATATGGTATGATATAAAATGGGTAAAACTCAATGCGTTGAACGAAATGTACACGAACATGTAATGAAGGTACAGTCAGTCAATATGTGCAGCATTCCAATTGCGATGATGCACCAGCAATTCAATATCAATTTTCCGTTTCGTTCAACCTGCCGCGCAATCGGGTGGATTGAGAGTTTATCTCATTTCTGTTGCCTTTGTGTTAAACAAACATACACATTTCAGCACTTATGTTTTCGCCATGCGTTCATCGCATCATTTTCAAATTAGAGCTTGAGATGGGGTATTTTGGTTTAATTATTGTGAGATTTCTGTGATAATGTTCACATAATTACACATTATAAAACGAAAATTCGAGTGAACATTGACTTTCACCGGTTAACATCAGACCATGTGTATTTTGGATGTATTTTGGATTGCAATTGTGTGGACAAGCATACTTCTCTCTTTCACTCTGTCTGCATGTCTCTCTTTCACTTGTGATGTGGTTTTGTGTCGGTTATTTACAATAATTGTAGATTGAGGTCAACGTTGAGCTTTTGATCTGATTCCGCATTCCCCGATCTAGTTCTCTCTAATCTATTCGACTTTAGTTTTCATTTCAATTACAACAAAACAAATATGCGAACACCAGTATTCATAGAAATTAAATTGTGTGTACTTTATGATATTATACAATTTTCGAGTATCCTTGCGTTTAACTGCAATTTTCGTCGGTATTTTAACCGAATATATATTCACACCAGCTATACCGATATTAAACTTACAAACTCACGTAACTTTTTTTCTTCTATTCACTTTCTATGAATCTGAATCTGGTACGATTGCAATTTTCAGATGCAAAACGCTATTTTATTTGCATAATGTTCGTTCTGTGGTGCAATTTATTCTCTTTCTCATCAACACATTCGAATTGGCTGAATCGTATCTGGCTGCTGCCATTACAGTCGACGAAAATATATCAATATCACCATTACAAATACCCTACGCTTGGATGTCATTCGCTTTAACGGTGTTAGTGATGGCATTTGTTCGCGTTTGTGAAATTTCCGATAAATCAGGTAAGAAAAACAATGTGTACCATGCCACTGTCTGTGTGTCGGTTTGAAGACATTTCAAATAATTAACATATGTGGTGAGAATTGATTTTTTGTCATTCTCTCGAATCGAATAAATTCCATTTTGATAAAATTCCATGTTCTTCGATATAAATCGCATTCGATGCGAATATCCAGGTTATCTGTATTTGTCGGTGCTGTGCCAAATATTTGTTTTCGTGACGAAAATCTATAAAGTCATTTTACTTATGGAAACATTGGATTTAAATGACTTACGTCCCGTTCTGATTGAATGCACAATCGTTGGGCTGATGCTTTTGGTTCTATTGGATTCGTATACCATTTATATCGAGGTAAGTTTTCCATTATTATCATATGAAATACCTATCCATACTGTTACTTGACATATCTCGATATCAAATGTGGCATTAAATAAATTGCACATTATTTTTTTCAATTTTCCCAAAAATAAGATATCGGCTGATTATAAAGGAGTTAAATTTTGCTAACATTAAAATCGAAATAGTTATTGGAGGAAACTTACATTTATTATGTATAAAGATAATATAAAATTTACGTGTATGTTGCAAGTTAAAGTTGTATCAGGGAATGTTTCCATCAGAAATTATAGCTCATGTTTATAGCCTATAGTAAAAAAAACGTTGCAGCAAAAATGAATGAAATAGAGGAGGAGAGAGAGATAGTTAACATAGTTTGACATAGTGAAATCTGGTTAAGTGGAAATATTTTGTATTATGTTGACATCGAGATCGAAATGAGGATCTATTAAATAAAAAGGAAAAACGCGACAAACGACACACGAAACACGACAACATCCTGTTGTAAACTGTACACTACATTAATCCTGGCTCTCTAATGGCATCCTCCAAAGTGCACGTATGCATACACAGGCGCAAACGATACATCGGTACATATTTTACAGAATATTTACATGTCAATTCAACGGAAACTGATACATGTTGTTTATGCAAAAGCACTGCTTTATTTTACTTTTTGAAGTGTGTGCGCTTGAAAAACTTTTCTATAGCATACATGAGCAGACTTTTTCTGTATTGGAGGGGGCAAATGACATAACATGTATTCATACTCTATACATGCCACTTTCACGGAGGAAGATGGGTTGATCAGCAAAAAACCTGGAAAATCGGAAGAATTTTCATTTCAAAAAGTCGAAAAAAGTGAAAAGCAAAAAACGCATCACTTTCTCGTCAAAAAACCCTAGCAAATTGAAAGATTTTAAATTCAGATGGAGGCATTTTTTGGTTTTTTAGACCGGGGAAAATCCCAGGCATGTGTATGCCCCCTCTGATCACTTATGTTTATATAGAGATTAAGCAAGGCACTCGTACGTACATACATAGTTTATACGTAGTTTTCTATTAATACCTCTCTTTTCTATCTTTCACGTCACTCCCTCTCTTTCTCACACACACTCTCACTCGCTTCCTCTCTCTTTCGATCTGTCGCACGATGCGTAAAATACAAACCATCAAAATATGCAATGAATTTCCTTGTTCTACAGCCGATGTTATTACTTCCGATCGATATGGTTTTATTTGTGTTTATTTGCCAAATCGATAGCGATACATTCCCGCGTCCGCCTCTCTCTCATAAATATGGAAAACTATATTGGTTTTTAATTCATTTGCCATTTCCCTGTTCTGAGTGTGTACACTATGAAAGCGCACATCAATTTTAAACGCAACACAATGTCCCGATCGATGTACTATATGCTATCGATGACATCAATGGAGTAGTAAATGAATTGCATCTGAAAACCATATCATGAGTAAAATGGTCGCATGAATATAAATAAAAAAAAATTATCCATAAAATTTTTTATGGTCAACAAAAAAAACACACACAAGAAACCATGGCTAAAAGTCGTGTATGTGTGTGTTGCGATTCGTTCCAAACGAACGAAACAATCTGATCGCATTCGATGAACTATATTTCATTTGTTATTCCTTCGTAAAAATTATGCTCCATTTAAATTGCAAGTTGCGGAAAAGTATTCACATCGAATCGAGTTAAAATCGTGTTCATGGTTCCAATTTCGTAATGCTGAGCACGATATGTTCCAATTAAATCGAAAAACTAGAATGGAATCTAGAGTAACGACAATGGTTTGCATTTTGAGAGTCAAATTTATTTGGCACACAAGACATCATACACATCGCTTGAAATGCGATCGGCAAACGAACGGAATAAGTCAATAGCCACAATGCACCACATAAAATATGATGAATTTTTTTTCCCAAATATGTACCAAAACTACTATATGAAATTATTCCACATCTTGGAATTTATGAATGTCTGTGTGTCTGTGTTAAATTGACTGCCACATGGAAAAAGTGTTCACATGTGACTCGTTGTGCAAGAATGATGCGTTCAATGTGAATCTAAAACGTTACACTTCATTGTTTCAAGATTTTTTTTCTTTTTTTTTCGTTCAGCTTCAATTTAAAAAGAATATATTCAAATTTATGAAAATGAATATTATTCGATATTCCAGCCAAAAGAGTCCTAATGTAATCGAATTTTCGTATTCGAAATTTATTCGAATCGGAATCGATTTTCAAGCAGATTTTAGAAAAAAATGCAAACCACAATTGACCCCATCGAATGTACATTTTTGTGGACCAAAATCGAAGCTCAACCGACAATTTATTGTATGTAATACCTTTTTGTGTTTATGTTTTTAGTCGAGCTTTACAAACGCAGTGAAATCAACGCTGACGCCGGATGAACATATTGGATATAAGCATTCGCAGGCAACGTTTTTATCGAAAATTACCTTTTACTGGTTTACACCGTTGATTTTACAAGGATACCATGAGCCACTTGAACTCGAAGATTTAGGTACACTTCATGAAGCAGACACCTGTCGAACCCACTACGATCGATTTCATTTTATCTACAAAAGCTTTAAGGTTCGTACTTTCGTTTCTTTTCCATCATTAACCCACTAAAAGCAGCATTATGCGAACAAACACTTGAACTAAACTCATTAATAAAGATCATAAACCATAAATAGTCATAAATAACGAGTTTCCCCTCGAAAAATTGATTATCAACGCTTTCAACCAGTGCAATACAGTTTTTTAATGCCAATAATTTCGCATTGAATACAAATCGCTCTTGTTGTACGGAACTACACACCAGTGTAGTATATCAAACATAAATTAATTTCAAACATGATATCGAAAATGGAAATCGGATATATTGATGTTACAACGTACACCGGATTAACCGGGACGCCGGACTACAACTGTGCAGCAGTCATATAAGCCGAAAAGAAGTGCTTCAAAATATCGATATTTCAGTTTTAGGAAACGACTGAGTTACAGAGCATTCGATTTGCAAATTATATTAATTGAGATTTAAATCTTCACTTCTTGAAATTGAATAAACTGGTCTAAAACTCTATATATCTTATCACAAAGCCATACATTTGAACTGTATCGATAGATATCCGCATGAATGGGCATGCTAAAAACAATCGTTTCGGTATTTTTGACTCTTGAGCTTTCGATAATTTAATGTGGTTTCGCATGAACTGATTTGAGTATCCAACTCATCAATTTTTCAAATTATCCCATTTTTTTATGTGAAAATACTAGCCATTTGGTCAGAAGAGCACTTCAAATATGGCAAAGTAATAAAATTTAGTTTGATGAATTTAATTCAGTTTCGACCACTTGAAAAGTGTATAAATTTATAAAACTTGCATATGAATGTGTGAATTATAATGAATTCGAATAATATTTATTTAGTACACAATGCAGTTTCGATTTTGTTCATATTTAAGAAAAATTATTTTTACATTCAAATATAGCTGGGGCGCACGCTTGCAGAACAACAAGCCACAAAGCCATGATCAAAATCTACTAATGATCAATGGCAACCCCATGATAAGAACTTATTAGTTCCACATACATTTAACATACATAAAATTACAAATATAAATAATTCTTTGTAAAAAATAAAAAAGAGATGATAGAAAGAAATGAACGCACTCATGTGTGTGTGCGCGCGCGAGCGATTGAAAATTTTTGTTTTTTTTTTTGCAATTAGATGGTCAAAAATCATAAATATGTTCGCGAACTTTATGATAATCAAGCAACTATTTTCACAAACAGATAGATATAATAAATGAATTTGTTGCTTTTTTGCTGTTGTTACAAGATCGCAAATTCAACAACAAAATTTTCAACAATTCATTTTTTGATCGCAAAAATGTCTTCAAAATCAGTTTGTTTTTGTTTTTTCAGCCCATGCTGGAACAAACTGATGAAAAGTTTTTGGATTTCATCTACATACATACATATACATTTATATGTAATACAAATTTTCAATCGGGCACGCGCGCTTGTCAGGCAGTGCGTACATCTTTACAATAAATATTTGTAAACTTATATATGTCTTAGCTGTTTTATAATTTTTATATTGTATTTAAAATTTTAATTTTCTTGGCATGACAGGCCAGATGATTCGTCAGGTGATGTCGATGAAAATAATGATTCGTTTTCATTGCTATCGTTTGATGATGATGATGATGATGATGAAAAAGACATCCGCCGCCGCAATTGTTGCCGTCTAGCGGCAATCTGAAAAACAAAATACATATGCACAAATTTAAAAAAAAAATAAGCATGTTTGTGTGTTCACGAACTATAATAAATAAAAATTCACGACTCGGGTCGCGAAAATTCACGACTCGGATTGTGAAAAAATTCACGACTCAGGTCGCGTGAAAATTCACGACCAATTGTATAAAATAAAAATTCACGACCTATTGTATAAAATCCACGACCTATTGTATAAAATTCCCGAAAACTATAGGTATAATTTTAAATCTGTTCGGTTTTCACATGTTAATTAAATACGAAAGTGTTCGGCGCGGTTTTTAAATTCGGTTTCTTTTAACATTCATACATTTAGGTGCTGCAATGAAACCGAATTTAAAAACCGCGCCGAACACTTTCGTATTTAATTAACATGTGAAAACCGAACAGATTTTTATATTTTTATTTGTATGTTTCGGATTGTGCGATATGCATAAATAGTATATTTATGTTTTTGACATTTGATGACAATCTGTTACCTTTCGTTCCTTTTTCCATTTGAATTCAGCAAATCTTTCTTTGGCTTGCCTATTTTGGATTTGTGCATTTTCTTCAAATGTGGCTGGAAGTCTACGACCAACCACTTCATGATAGCCTATAAATAAATAAATAAATAAATAAATAAATAAATAATGCGGAGAAAAATAAAAAATACATTATTTATGATAAAAACTCACCATGTATCCTCATATTTCGGCCGGCATTCACATCACGATGTATGGTTAATGACTGTGTTTCTGTCGTATTAATTTTATTTTTCTCATATTTCCAGGCCAATACATTTTTTTGCTTACGTTTTGGATGCCATTTATATCGACGCCGCTTCTGCCCCGGCAGCAGTGGTATTCCTTGTTGATCAAAACGAGCCAATTCAATGACAACACTTGGTGGTGGTGGTTGTGATGATGATGATAATGGCTCCTCTTCTCGTTGACGTGCCTTAATTTTTTTTT